TGCAGACAGTACTTCTATTAATTGTCTGCAGACGTCAAAAAACAAGCCAACTATTGTTTTCATGGCTTTCTCTCCCCCCCACTTTTTTTTTTTTTTACAATCTCGCACTCTTTAAACAACTCTCTCTCTCTCTCTCCCTCCCTTTCTCTCTCTCTCTCTCTCTCTCTCTCCCTCTCCCTCTCCCTCCCTCTGAAAAAACAGGGCGGTCAGACTTGAATCGGCGCCGGTCTGCTGCTCCATTTTCAGTCCACCTCAGACTGTACAAACTCATCAGTAGGAGGGGAAAAAAAAAAAAAAAAAACCAAAAAAAAAACAAAAAACTATCCAGACATCTGACACTGTTTTGAAATGAAAGAATCAATTTTGAACCGTAACGCTCACACATCACAGTATGTAAGTGTAAATATATATGTAAATATATATGTACATATACATATATGTATATATGTGTGTGTGTGTGTATTGTGTAAGCAACTTGGATTCAGAGTAGCACATGCTAGAAAGATAGACTTTATTGCTAAAATGTGTATCCATAACATGAACACTTATATATTTTACTTAGATTTTAAGAAATATTCAAGTATACATATATCTCCCATAATTTTTTTTTTGTATAATCTATCATCTTTCTGTATACTCTATACTCTATACAACCGTTAAAATCATAAATAAAACATACATTAAAAAAAAAAAATTTCTACAATACTATGTATTCTGAAAAAAAAAATGCTGAGTTCATGCCTTCATATGTCTTTATCCTTCATGCCTTGATATAGTTTAACCTCACGTGTTTACAATTTATTATTGATAATTTATTATTATTCATATCAATATAATACAAAAAAAAATCCAAGCAGCATTGCAGTAACAGTCAGCATCAATGTTCACTTGACAGAGAAAAGTTCACCCATCGTGGAAGTGTAGCATATGCATTCCATCTTCAAAAAAAAAAAAAAAAAAAAAAAAAGTCTCATAAAAATATCAAAAAAAGCTTTTCAGGGCTGAGAATAAAACATGGTCCTGATTTAATTAGAAAAAATAGCTGCATTTGTCTTAAATATATACAATGTATGGATTTCACTTACACGACACATATAAAAATAGATTTGCTATGGTGCCCATCTCTGTAGAGAGTTAAACAGTGCAATAGAAAACAGTTTCCAGTCCGCTCCCTCCGGCTGATGCCTCCTTATTAAGAGACTCAGCACGAACACTTGCACTCTGAGATTATCGGGTATTGCACCTGTATCCACGTACAGTACTTCTGTTTTAGGAAGCCCTGGCAGTACCAGCGCAGGAAGATCTTGTTGATGGACTTGATGGGCTTGCACGACATGCCTTCGGGGAAGGAGCACGAGCGCTCGGCGAAACAGTTCCCCTCCTTGATGTAACGTGGCCAGAACCTGACGCCCAGATCCTTCCAGGTGAACACCACCGGGCAGTGCGTGTACGTCCACAGCCACTGCAGGAATTTCCTGCGGGCTTTCTTGCCAATTTTGACCCTCTTCCCATACGGGGTCTCTGTGAGGTCCAGCTTTTTAATGTCATTGGGCATCAGCCCTGGCACCTTCACGACGCCGTCCGAGACGTTCGCCGGCGTGGGCGAGCTTATGGACATGAAGTTGGGGTCAAAGTTGCTGCCGAGTTTTTTCCTCAAAGTCCTCTCGGTCAAGTCTTGCTCCCGCGGGTCGTACTCCGGGTCTGGGTCTTCCTTCAGGCCGGGGACGGGGAGGTGGTCACTGGGAGATGGACGGAGGAGGACGAAATGCTGGCAGATTCCGAGGTGGACGCAGAACAGCGCGTAAAAGAGGAGCTTTTGTGACAGGCCCATTTTTTTTTTGCCTGTTGCTTTTACGCACGCGTAAAAAACCCGTTGCTGTTCTTTTCCGGGTCACTGTGGTCGCTGTAACGACGAGTCCGAGACTTCATAAATAGTGAAAGTTCAGTCACATACGCGCGGCGATACTTTTAATAGACCACCGCCTCGGGTTTGAATGACATGGCGCTGCTGCGCTCTGCTCCCGCAGCCCCTTTCAGCGTTGCTTCTCCGCGAGCTGCGCAGACTCTGAAAACCTCAAAAGGAGTAAAACTCTGGTCACGCATTCTTCAGCCTCACTTCGCACCCTTGCCTGCATTGCCAGTTTTCTTTGGTTGTCATGGTTACCCTGAGATACCAAGCGTTTAGGTTATATGACAGCGCGCAAGACAGCGATTCCTAGGGAGAACAGAAAGTGCACTCCAGAAAAAAAAAAGAAAAGAAAAGAAAAGAAAAAAAAAAGAAAGGATCTCACCACGTTTTAAATGTCATGAGCCCTGCACAGAAAGCCGCTGCGGCCAATGTTATTTTTACGCACGGCTTTTCTAAACTCGGGTTCTCCTCTGAACGGCGCCTGGCGCTCACAACTTCGTTAAAAGTCTCACAAAATGTGCGCACTGTGGGGGAAATACCAGCCAGCTCCTCTCTCTCTCTCCCTCTCTCCCTCTCCCTCTCTCCCTCTCTCTCTCTCCCACTCTCGCTCTCTGCGGTGCGTTCCAGCCGTGGAGAGGATTCAAAAACTCCGCAGATCGTGGAGGTATGTACTCCAACACAGATTACGAACAATCCCAGCGCCGATCTGTTATTCCAGACGGTGTTCCAAAATCAGCGATGCGGTGTCATCACACGTAGCCGCGATACTCCCACCACACTCTGCCCTGCGCATCTACCAACAAGGCACGAAGCAAACAGAGCAGCTCAGACTGTCACGGGGGGCATCACCAGAGGCCCCTCACTGCAGACTATTCTTTTTTTTTCTTTTTCTTTTCTTCTTCTTCAAATGTTCGTTCCGTGGTCAGTTCTTGCGCTGACAAAATGCAAAACAAACGTAGCGTCCGAGTTTGGAGTGGGAGCTCGCTCTGCTGTGGAATCCCGTGTTCGCTTCTGTACACACTGCTGTGTGCTCGTGTGTGTGTGTGTGCATGACTGAGCGTGTCTGCCGAGTGACTGCTCTGTCCCAAGTTAAATACCACCCCCCCCATTCGACCCAGCCCCTCAGACCGTTCAAAGTGTCAGGAGAGCCGGCCCACCCGCTCACTTTCACTATGGCCGGCCTCTCTGCTGCGCACTAACCCCGAACCACACCAGCAACAGGGACAGGAGTCACCGTGTCCCAACAACTTCTTTTTTTTTTTTTTTTTTTTTTTACGATTTTGCCAAATAATAAAATTACCCACAAAATCGAATATCTCTAAGTTATAGCTTAATAATAAAGAAAACTTAGAGTTCTTGTATCACCATCTCTTAAGGCAGCTCGCATATATAATATAATATATGTAATATATTACAAAAAAAGTATATTGCCAAATGTAGATATAGCTATAGATATATCAACAGGAAACAGTGTTCCACTGCAGACAAACTAATAACATTTTCGTAAAAAAAATGTTAAAAAAAATATATTGTCAGAAAAACGTACACACTTGAAATGGGTTTCTAAATGTATGAATTTAACGATTTTTTTTTTTTTTAAAAAAACGATTTAAATTTATATTATTTGCTGATAGTTAAGATCTAAACTCTCAGTGTTTCCGGTGTTTTTTTTCTACTACTAATTCGTGATTATACTATTTTATTTGGAAAAAAAACTTCCGGTCACCACACGTAAATTTAAGGTAGATGTAAAAGAGAAAAAGTTTTTACCTACTGCGTTCAACATTTTATATTCTATTTTATTATAAAGACCGTTTTTGCTACTTTATTCTGCGTTGTCTTTTATTATTATGGTCGCTAGAGGGCGTCGATCCAGCACGGTGTGGCCCTGCTGCTGGGCCTGCCAAGTCTGATGTGACCACTCAGGGCCGAGTAGATGTGGAAATTATGCATAGTCATAACTTATCACGACCGTATGCGGTGTGCTACCAAAAGTGAGAGCAGTTTAACACACATTTTACACCCCACAAGACATAAATGACAACTTTAGTCTTAATTGTCACGGCGTTGGAAAGCATGTGTTACAAGAATCTAGTCGGTCCTACTTGCAAAGACCGTTGGCCAAAAGTTGCCAACAGTATTTATAGATTTGTCAGCCCCAGTCCCTGGTTCAAAACCGTAGACTGTACATAACAAATATATTTAAACTCAAGGTTGCACGATTAATCCGTGAGATTTGCACTTTGATCAGCATTGTGTGACCTTTGAAAGCTGGAGCATATGAGACATCACCTGCAGCGAATTTTTTATTTTTTTATTTTGGACGTTTCAAGTTTTATTTATAGATGCTCTCCTCTCCACATGTGTGCTGTGGAAGTGGTTGGAACCGTGAACATCACATGAAAATGTACAATGTGCACTTGCACAGTGGGAGTCAAAAACTAGAACTTTATTCATTCAAGTGATACATCTATTTTCCCCAAATAGCCTTCATTGATCCATCCATCCATCCATCGATCTATCTATCTATCTGTCTGTCTGTCCATCCGTCCGTCCGTCCGTCCGTCCGTCCGTCTATCTTTCTATCTATCTATCTATCTATATATCTATCTATCTATCATCTGTCTGTCTGTCTGTCTGTCTGTCCATCCGTCCGTCCGTCCGTCCATCTATCTATCTATCTATCTATATATCTATCTATCTATCTATCTGTCTCTGTCTATCTATCTGTCTGTCTGTCCATCCGTCCGTCCGTCCGTCCATCTATCTATCTATCTATCTATCTATATATCTATCTATCTATCATCTGTCTGTCTATCTATCTATCTATCTGTCTGTCTGTCCATCCGTCCGTCCGTCCGTCCGTCTATCTTTCTATCTATCTATCTATCTATCCATCTGTCTGTCTGTCTGTCTGTCTATCTATCTATCTGTCTGTCTGTCCATCCGTCCGTCCGTCCGTCCATCTATCTATCTATCTATCTATCCATCTGTCTGTCTGTCTGTCTGTCCATCCGTCCGTCCGTCCGTCCATCTATCTATCTATCTATCTATCTATATATCTATCTATCTATCATCTGTCTGTCTATCTATCTATCTATCTGTCTATCTATCTATAGGAAAATGTTAAATGTTTGCATAGAATTGCAAACATTCTTAGCAAATGCGACAATTTTAAAGGTGTGGAGCCCGGAAAAAAACAAGATAGAAAAATTTAACTCCCCAAACTTTCGTGCTTGGCCTTCCCTTTGGTTCATAGGAAAATTTGTCACGCCCCACCCACCCACCCCAAAAAACAAAAGACACATACAGATATTTTGTTTTCAGACACTGGCGACAGCAAAAATGAGCGCGAGAATTAAAAATCAACGTACTCTTTTCCAATATTATTATCAAATATTAATTTTAAGCCACCTTCAACCAATCAGTTTTTTTGCCCAAAAATGAGAGCGAGAATTAAAAATCAACATACTCCTTTGCAATATTATTATTAAATATTCATTTTAAGCCGCCTTCAACCAAGCCGTTTTTTGCCAGTCTCTTGTTAAACATTTACAGCATTGGACAATACGTTGCATTACATTTGATCCATTCATTCCATCTGCACCGCCCTGCAATGGCACCTCCTATTGCCTCCCCTAGGGGGCGTGCCTGCCTGCCACTTTGGGAACCTCCGGGTTAGAAGGTTGTAGTTTTGCTTATAATGGGTCGGAATCGGCTGATGACAGTTATAGAGGTAGTTGAGGTGTTAGACAACAAAAGTCATTTTGCAGCTCGTTCCGCGATGGCTAGGCAAACGAAGCCGAAGCGAAGTAGCCCAGCTTGTTTAAACGAAGCCCGCCGTCCTTTGATGAGTGCGACCAGTTTGCGTTTTTATGCTCTATGGAAGAAAGAGGTAGAACTGCCGCTGAGCACTGGGCTTGTGTAACAAGAGGACCTAGCTCATTGGCTTTGCAATTATTGTTAACGCTTCCTTAAGTCTCAATAGGGCGCACAATGAGTGCGCATGGGGGGGTGGGTGCCCTCAGGCAGAGATGGTAGACGTAGCTTTCGTCTC